TAGCATAGTTGGTTGAGGCACTATGCTACAAGCCGTAAAGTCGCGGGTTCGAGTTCTGATGATTTTTTAAATTTACCTAAACCTTCCAGCCACACTATGGCCCTGGGGTCGACTCAGTCTCTAACAGAAATGAGTACCAGGAATATTCCTGGGGGGTAAAGGGCGGCGGGCGCGTAAGGCTGACAACCTTACCGCTATCTGTGAGCCGACTGTCTAGAAAATGTGGTAGCCTCGACATCTCAACCATATGGGCTTCCACGGCCTGTTACAATGATAGCTTTATCTTACGCTTAAATACCATGCGAGCACCCCCTTATTCTGTTTGGTGTCAGTTTCTTGTCCGAGGCCTGCTCGTCGTGTGGTCCCTGGTTCACTTAGTAGACAATAAATTCATCAGTCACAGATATAACCCCATATCGGCCATTTCCAAGAAATTCCAAGCCCAAGTCGCATTTTTCTTGTTTAAAACTTTAATGCGCAGCAACTGATATACCTGCTTTAGTATTAAAAAGCTTTGCAGTTTGCCCACAGCGTGTATTTGCATTTGATTCTCATAATAACTCTTGATCGTTCTTCTAATAGCATTAGCCAGTTGTTTACAGAAGAGACAGAATGTATTTTCTAATGCAGAAACCCAGTTTTTAAATACAACTGAGATTAATTTAATGCGTCAGAAGGATAAGATGGATTTATTTTAAATTGGAATAAAAATACTGTCGAAAGTTGGCACCGGCGCGTGTGTTTAGTTTGAACATGTTATGATGTTCTAGTACGAATGTTTTAGTGGAATACAGCTTCTGGTGTAATATTTTTTAATGTTTATATTCCGAATGTCTTAACTGCTTTTATAATTTAACATCTGAACATGGGGGATCGCAGTGGCCTCGGGGTCTAAGGCATGAACTTTCTTCGCCCGCTCAAAAACTGGATCGTGGTGTCGAATCCAACTTGATGCATGGATGTCTGTGTGCGTTTACTCTGTGTTGTTCTGTCCTGTGCTCAGGTAGCGGCCTTGCGACAGGCTGATCCCCCGTCCAAGGAGGCCTACTGACTCTGTAAATGATTAAAAATCTGAAAAGTTGCCAAGGTCCAACAAAAGGGCTGTAGAGCCATAAATAACATCTGAAAGTGTTGCAATGTTTGAACACATTTTAAATATTCCATGCTTTATATCGGGAGAATTAATATAAGGTTTCTGTACACGAATGTTTAAATATTTTTTATATGATAAGATAGCACACTCTACAATAAAACAAGTGACAAATAACATGTAACATTTTATGTTGGGTTATTGAATCCATAAAAATATCAAAAAGAAACTTCATGCAGTAGCTGAGGACGTTTATTTTTGGCCGGTCAAGGTTGTTCTAGCACTTACTACTGCCCATCGCTACCTGCTCAACCTACTTACCTACTTACTTACTGGTGTAACCTCAGGGAGGGTGATGACCCCAACTACAGTGCAAAAGTGCCTTGCCAAAGTTCAGACGGTTAGTCGCCTGCTTCCCACCGCGGTGGCCCAGATTCGAGCCCAGTTCAGGTTATGTGGGAATTGTGGCATGTTTTCTCCGAGTAATTCGGTTTTCCCTGCCAATTCTCATTCCACCGACTGCTCCACACTCATCGTCTATTTTCCTGGACTGGTACAATAGGCCAAATAGTTGTCGACGTATCAAGTGGACTCAGTCTCACCCCACCCCAAGAGAGTAAATAAAAAAAGGTAAAGTTGTCTCTGGCCGGTCACGGTAGCCGAGCGGTCTAAGGCATATACTGTCTTCGCTCGCTTGGAAACCGGGATCTTGGGTTCGAGTCCCACTCAGGACATGGATGTTTAGTTTGTGTGTGTGCGTTTTTCTGTGTCTGTGTGCAGGTAGAGGCCTTGCGATGAGCTGATCGCCCGCCCAAGGAGTCCCATCGAATGTGTAAGATCGAGAAAAACCGAAGTGAACGGAGAAGTTCATGGAGGTAGGCCTAGGCCCACTGGGGCTGTAGTGCCAAGGGGGGGAAGAAAGTTGTCCCTGTGCTCAACTAATTAAACACTATGCAATGTAGGCGTATAGGGGAGTGGCTGTATAGATCCATGTTTTTCTCTTTATTTTTTAAATTCTCATAGTGGGCGGTGGAGTCCAGTTGGGTCCACTCGGCACGGCAGCCACTGATTGGCCTATTGTACCTGCCCCGGGTGATTATGGTAATGGGAAATTTGGTGGAATGAAGATTGGCAGGGGAAACCGAAGTACTCAGAGTAAACCTGCCCCGTCGCCACTTTGTCCACCACAAATACCACTTCACCACACCCGGGCTCGAACCCGGGCCGCCGCTTGAGCTATGGCGCGGCCAGATCCATGTTTCCTTGACCTCGGTAGTAGACGGAGGTGATGATCAGTTTCACGCCCCGGCCGTTTTACCACCGGAGAAAGGTCCCACAAGACAGATACTTCAGGAATACAATCCTATGTCCTAAGAAACACATAAAGGAAAAGAAATCTTGTTACATACTGATTGTCCCTTGAAAACGTGAAGAATGCCAAGAATCACATTGACAGAAGCAAAAGCCTGCTACAGAAGTTCCCAAAAAACAAAGCATGACTTTTCCCGATACTGTTGGGACCAAGAGTGACCAGATAGCGACACCCAGCGAGTTGAATGCAGTCACCCTCTGCCGACATTGCAAAGCGACAGGACACGCTGCCAAATGTGCAAGGTATGGTACCATAATGATGTGTGTTTACTGGTGCAAGATGCAACGGACCCACATAGCCCTGTCATACTCCAGAACACTGCAGTGTGCAGTCAAGGCAGTAATGATTTAACTGAGAAGAACTCAATGTCTTATGCAGTGTATAGTACAATTGTTACTTTGTAATGCACTAATGTACGTAAGAGTGTGTTGTGGCCGTGAAGAAATTCTGAAGATTTTGACGGTTTTACAGATTTTCAGCCCCACACCCCAGAACACGAATAAGTGGTCTGTCACACTCTGGAAATTAAAAAAGTTATCCCTGTGCTTAATTAATTGAGCACTATGCCGTGAAGGCGTATGGTGAAGTGGGTGTATAGAGCCGGGATAGCGCAGTCGATATAGCAACTGACTACATGCTGGACCGTCAAGATATCGGAGTTTATTATTATTTGTTACGCGGCTGTTCGGGTAAGATCTGTATCCTGGAGTGCTCTACTCTCTACTATAGTTCGTGTCTTCTCTTTTTATTCCCAGTTCTCTGTTCAGTTTCTGTGTTTGTGGATTGTGACATGTTTCAAGCAATATCATTACCTTTTTTACGTACCTTTATTCTGAATTCCCTATTCGATTTCTTGGAAAATTTCCACAGGAAGTGAGGTCTTCTAAACGAGATCCCGTCTCCAGGGCGGATCGGGTATTGCCTACTGTGTTCTGATTTAAAACGAGTTCTGTGTTGAATCCTTTGAGTTTGCATATTTTTACAAGCACGCAGTCCTTATTTGTATCCAGTTGTATAAAGTTCAATATTTACTTTTATATACCGACGATTTTTAATTTTTTTTTACAGAAATAAGTCTTCATAACTTGTAAGCTTCTCCAAGTATAGTAAGAATGATCAAGTCAAGGAGGATGAAATGGGCAGGGCATGTAGCACGAATGGGGAGAGGAGGAATGCATATAGGATATTGGTGGGAAAGCCGGAAGGAAGGAGACCACTGGGAAGACCAAGACGTAGGTGGGTGAGCAATATTAAAATTAATTTTAGAGAGATAGGATGGGATGGTATGGACTGGATCGACCTGGCTCAGGATAGGGACCAGTGGAGGGCTCTTGTGAACACGATAATAAAGCTTCGGGTTCCATAAAATGCTGGGACGTTCTTGAGTAACTGCACAATTGGCGGCTCCTCAAGAAGGGCTCAGCTCCAGAGTGAGTGAGGCAGAAATAGGTGGCCTCCACATCAAGAGATCCAATTTTGCTGGCGTCAGAGCTGTAATTTCTGTGTTGATTTGAAAAGGAGTCTCGTAGCTGATTAATTTTCCAACTAAGAAAGGCTTATTTTGTTTAACGGGCTCGGATAAGTTACTATTTCCTGTCCCTCCCTCTTCTTTTCTTGAAGACAGACACACAGTCAACCCCTGAAACACTGTACACTCAACTCCAGAAAATGGGCAGTGTCCGATGAAAGTAAACCACGGAACAAATTGTTTTAGTATGATACAGTTACATATTCATCCATGGTCTGTCTTATTCGTAGCTGTACCGTTCATTTTCTTTCTTTCTTTTTTTTTTTTTTTTTTTTTTTTTTTTTTTTTTTTCGTTCTTTCCTTGCTAAATATATCTTCTTATAAGGTTAGTATGCAAACCCACAAGCAATAAATGCAATTTTCCCGTCATCAGCTGAACGATTTTTCTGCAGTGACTTCGGCATTTATAGTACTGAAATTGAGCGTGTTTTATTTCCTTTTGTCGGCGTTACGGTTCCCTTCCCACACTCTCACTCACCTGCTACTTTCTTAACACCTCATAACCGTACTCCCTTCTAGTCTAATTACTAGCCAATTATGAACGGTGCCGTGATAGAAATAATTTGACCGATAATTAATTTTATGGGTCCTTGAGTGTTTTTCGTTTTTCTGCCATGCTTTCATCGCTCATGTCGTTCCGTGAAGTGGTCACATGATGGCAGTGTAAGGCATTCTATTAAACATACATATTAGTGTTGGGTGTTGCCGCTAGATGGTGCATCTATGTGAATTAACATTGTGTATGTAGGCGATACGTGGTGTGTGGTTACTCGCGTATGTGATTAACTGTGCCTTAATATTGTATTGTATACACTCTTCCATTTTATTATAAATCTTATTTACAGTCTTATATGCAACTATTTATTAACTTAAAAAGTTAGAATTATAACTTAAACTTTAAAGTTAATAAATATTTGCACATAAGACTGTAAAGAAGGATTTATAATAAAATAGAACCATGCCTTACGATGTGGATTTACTTTTAATATTATCTTTTTCTCCTCTTTCAGCTCCCGTCTCTGGGAACCTTCAACGAACAGGTAGGACAATTTTACGAAACAGCACTGTACTTTATTCAGACACTGATATGGGTATATGTCATATTCCATGCCTTCGGAGTGTTGTCAGGATAGCTCAGTCAGTATAGTGACTAGGTTGCATGCTGGACGACCATATTTGATTCCCGGCAGGGCAGAGATTTTTCCTCTTCTTCGCAGCGTCCCAACTGGGTCTGGGCCCCACGCAACCTCATATTTAATGCGTACCAGGGTTCTTAACCCTGAATCTGACCACCTCTGTCTCCCCCATACATCATCGTGGCTTGGTGCTTTATTACACACAGGGAAAACTTTACCTTTTACCTGTTTCTTTAATCTCCATTTTATTAATCCTTTTTTAAAGTCTAGTGGTTACTTCATTTACTACCTGCTTTGACATTAATAACACCCGCATTTTGCCCACAGAGTGTATTTATTCATTACGTACTTAATCCGTTCCGCTTAACCTTCCGGAGTCGAGGTTGTTTTTTCATTTGATCATTTTAGAGACGGTAGGACCCCTTGGACGGGTAATCAGCCCGTCGCAAGGCCGCTACCTAAACATAGGACAACACAAACACATACCAAACATCCATGCCTTACGTGGGATTCGAACCCACGACCCCGGCTTCCGAGCGAGCGAAGACAGTTGATGCCTTAGACCGCTCGGCTACCGTGACCGGCAGTGTATAAGCATAATATATAATAATTCAGTTCGTACTTCACAGGAAACAGATCCGAACTCACGATCCCAGCTTCCGAGCGAGCGAAGACAGTTGATGCCTTAGACCGCTCGGCTACCGTGACCGGCAATATTATTGTTACCTATCATATGATCATCAGAATGAACACTGATTGACTCTCTAGACTCCATTAACCATCTGAGAGCCGTACTAGCTCAGTGGGTATAACGGCGGGGTTTCGATTCCCGGCAGGGATCCCTGCTCCATGGCGTCCAGACCTTCTCTGGGGCCCACTCAGACCCCTATCCAGTTGGTACTGGGAATTCTTTCTGACCACTTCCACCTAGAGCCGAGGTCAGGATTGTTGGAGCTATATCTCCACTACCCCATACGTCTTCATGATTGGTGCTTAATTAATTAAGTGTAAGGACAACGTTATACCTTTACCATTAACCAACTGATCTTTGCGATGTAGATGCGGCACGTTTTCCTGCGACGTACGGCTGAATACTTAAATTTTGTTCGAAGAAATTCATTCTTCATATGGTCAAGTGACAAGAAGACGAGGAAGAAGACGTAAGAAGATGCTGGATGACCTTGGGGACAGAAGAGGATACTGTCATTTGAAGGAAAAAGCTCTAGATCGCATTAAATGGAGGAATTGTTTTGGAAGAGACTGTGGACCTGTCGTCTTGACAGATTACTGATGATGATGATGATGATGATGATCAAGTGCTGCCATCTACATCTTGCTCTCCTCATTTGGGCTTTTCCTTTCATTTCTTTTTTCAAAAGAAAATATGCATTTTTCATTTCACTCATTCGTGCTACGTGACTTTACCCTGTCATTCTTCTTAGTATCATCTTCTTAAAGACATTTGGCGCAAAACACTAATTATAAAATTCCCTTGTAAGAAATTTCTGTATTCTTCAGCCTAAGAATAAAAGTAGTTGCCCACCTTGAGCCTTATCTCTCGCCAGAATGTTAGATCTCTCTCAGGTATGAATGACCATAGCTTCAAGAGCTTTCCCAAGGATCGTATTCTACTACCGAAATTTTATTTGATGCCGTTCTGTTTGGAGCCATCTTTATTACCATTAATTTATAAAGTGTCAGGATTATTATCGTAACATTTTATATAGGAAGCATTATTATTTAAATGCCAATATTGTGCATACGTATTCAGTTTTGATAGCTCTCAATTTACATGCTTAAGCTGAATTTAATGAATATTTTAAAATTTATTCTGCAAATAACAGAATACGAGTTCTCTTTACAATTCCGTGTTCAGGGGGTATATTAGTGGCCGGGTAAAAATAACTCCCAACACGAACATTTACCGATTAAAATGCTCTGTGGTAAATTTCTCGCGTTACGGGCTGTGTAGACGAATTTAATTATATCAAGAATCACTAGTTTCCTGACAAAAATTTCAATTCATGGTCAAAAAATAATTCTTCATGGTCGCTTTCTGTTTCAGACATTTTAATTTGCATGTAGATCTACATGACCCCATGGAGGAGATTTCTTCTTCAGAATCTAATAGACTCCAGCTTTTTCGAATGTGACTCCGTTTACATTAGCGTCCATTTGTCAATATCCGTTTAAATTGCAACACTTGTTTTACACTTCAGTATATTCTTTAACACTTAACACTACATGTTTCGGCCTCAAAGGGCCATCTTCAGGTGTTTTGTTACAGATATTGAATCAAGACCTTGTTAAAACTGCTACACCTTTTCGCTGTTCCAATTCATTTTAAAAATCACACGCTGCAGTCCTCCTGTAATTAAAACGAGATACAATTCTTTCATAATTTGTTGTTTCACTTCACTCAGGGTGTCGTCACTTCGTGAAATATTAAAATGTTTTCCCCGGCAGCTTGCTCCTCACGTTAGTTATTTGCGCCTGTTTTTCGTTTCCTCCCCAAAGTGTGGTGTTGTTTTTACGGAAGTGACGACACCCTGAGTTAAGTGAAACAACAAATTATAAAAGAATTTTATCTCGTTTTAATTACAGGAGGACTGCAGCGTGTGGTTTTTAAAATGAATTGGAACAGCGAAACAGTGTAGCAGTTTTAACAAGGTCTTGATTGAATATCTGTAATAAAATACCTGAAGATGGCCCTTTGAGGCCGAAACATATAGTGATAAGTGTTAAAGAATATATAGAAGTGTAAAAAGAGTGTTGCAATTTAGACGGATATAGACAAATGGACGCTAATGTGAACAATTGCAACGGGATGCTGAAATACAGAGTGACTCCGTTTAGTTTGGTATATGGTTACAAACATATCAGAGGAACCTGCTGCCTCTTATCTTCAGAATCTTCCATACTGAAGTTGGAAGCACCATGTTCCTCTGAAATGTCACTAGGTATATACCAGACTACACGGTGTCACATTCCCAAAGCCCCGAGTCATAATGTACACTAGGAACCTCAGCTCTCATAAAGCCAATCATTGCTCAGCTAGTAAAGAAGTGCCTTGCACTTTATGAAAACGGAAGAGTCATTACCGTGGTCACAAAATCCCGTCGCTGGTCATTCTTATTCCGTGTGAATGTACCCATATGTGCATAACAACATAAAACCATTAAGACCGTAAAAGCACTTTAGAAATTGAATTTACTCAAGATATGTAAAAAGAAAACCAGAATTGGTAAGAGACATAGCAGTGCTTTAAATCTAGTTATTAGCCTGCTGCCTCCAGTGTATTTTGCCTGCTTCTTTTATTGCATAAGGAAATATATTGTATATTCGTATTTATGTAATCATGTCCATGTGTCAGTGAGTCCATCCTCTCCCAAGTAAATGTTGAATCAGATAATGGATTTTCATGAAACTGGGGATGAACATCAAGTCACTGGAAGTAACATAACCTTCATAAACCCCTTGTCTTCACCTCCGAGTCCAGGCGGCACTGGTGGTCGGAGCATGAAGCTGATCATTCGGCTGCATCTGTACTGTGCCTAAAACATCTTTAGCGGTTGCGTCATAATCGGACAGCTCCGTATATCGTTACGTAATCATTTTAGTGCTGAGGATAAGAATGCATGGCTCTGTACATACACGTCACCATACGTCTTCATGCCATGTTGCTTAATTACGGACAACTTTAGTTTTGGGTCACAGAACTGTTCGACCGGTGCTGAGCCCTGAAATTTGGCACAAAATGAACGAAAGGAATATCCAACGTTTGCGGAATATAAAATAATATTGTGACATATTGACCCCTACCTCCCCAGCGGTAACGTAACGCTCGCGTTCTTACGGTAATAGGCGAGTTCCCGCCCCGCCACTCCCCTCCGCGGTGACGTCACCGAGGGATATCGCGGTCGCTAGGCAACGCGAGTCAACAGCGGCGACGTTACGATAGTAACAGCGGTTACCTCCGCTAGCGTTACATAGCAACACAGCGCCAGGCAAAGAGGGTGCCTATTACGCGGCCGTTTTCCGTATGGTCCGATCGAGGCTACATGAGGCGCAGCGAAGGCTATTCACAGTCAGTTCTAGTGTGGCTACCGCAGCGTTGTACTGAGTCAGTCGGCGAGTCCTGGACCTATCGCCGAGTTAGCCAGCAACTAGTCAGTTGTATTGTGGCATTTTTCAGTGTACTAATTGTGATACTGCAGATAGCAGTAATCGTAAATCTGTAATTTGGGTGATTGTAAGTGCGAATGTGAAATAAAATTCGCTACATCAAATACATCGTGAAGTTATTTGTCGCGATATACGCCCGATACGCGACAATATGATGGCAGCTCGAAACCTCAGTTTCCCTTTCCATTTTGTAGCCATAAGCAATGAACCGCCGATCACAGGTGTCGCGCGGTGTACGGAATGAACTGGGATCGTGGGTTCGAATCCCATCCGAGGTATGGATGTCTGTGTCCGTTTATTCTGTGTTTGTGTTCTGTGTGTAGGCAGAGGCCTTGCGACGGGCTGATCCCCCGTCCAAGGACTCCTACCGTGTGTGTAAAAAAGATTACGGAACTGAAGAAGAGGCCAGGGCTCAACAAAGGGCTGTAGAACCATTGATGAATGAATAAATAATGAACCATTAGAACTAGGTATATGACATTTTGTAGCAGACCTGCTTCATAATGGGAGTTCCTGTCATATACAAACGTTTCAATTGGTCTCTTCTTCTAGAACTGCCGACCGAAATTTTTATGAGTTTTTATATCGTGTGTGCTACATGTCCAATCCTGATACTATTCGGTGAAATGTATAATTTGTGAAGTTCGTCATTTTCACTCTACTGTTACTTTAATGTACTTAGGCCCCGAATGTTCTCCTCAGAGCCCAAACACCCTCAA